GTCTGCGAAATTTTCGAGTTTTTTAGTCGCTTTATACCCTTCGTTACAAATGTTGTTCTCAGAAATGAATGCGAAACTGTGTGTACTTTATTGACGAAAGCTGGGATATTGGCAGAAGTTTATCATGCAGGACTTGCCGATAATAAGAGAGTGCAGGTAAGTAGAGGTGGACAGGGTTAGCCTTTTTAGGTTGCACTGCACCATCCGTCCGTCCGCTATTATGTTGATTGGGTGATTTTCTTTCCCAGTGGCTTTTTTCTGAAGCAGTATCCGTTCATACTACGCTTATTTGCAGGTACAACATCGTTGGTTACGAAATAATATTAGTGTTATATGTGCAACGATTGCTTTTGGAATGGGTATTCGACAAACCGGACGTGCGATTTGTTATTCACTATAGGTACGTGCCCGTTAATTTCACGAAAAGTAGCGTTTATTCTTGCTACATGTTGTGTCATGCTGCCAGTTTGTGTGCTAACAAGCTTCCTCGGCACTGCGATCTCCCGTCAGCATGACCCGCCCACGAAGGCCCTGCCTAAGCTGCACCCATAAGCCTAGCAATATGGGAAACTGCGAGATTACTGAACTTTCAATAGTACAGAAGTAAGTACAAAAATAGTTGAAGTACAGAAATGAAGCAGTTTTGGTCGACTGAGCAGTCGTGGGGAGCTTGCAGAGAATGCGCCCACACCTTCTACAAGCCCGCCCATAGCGTTGTTTTACTAGAAAAGTAGAATTGTGTGCGGTTTAGAGCGATAGTAAAGAAAAAGGCTAAGGAAAAATCCAGTGAAAACATTTAAATCTGGGATCTCCCATTCTACAGACAGTGCCATAACAAAGAGAACACGCTGAGGAGAGAGGCAGAGAGGATTAAGACCTCAGGCACCCCATGAGTGGGTGTCATACTTAGCGAATGTCGCGACTTCTTCGTGAACGACGCCTTCGAAATCGCATATAAAAGAGGAATAGAAAGACGGAGTGCAAGTTTTCACCCCGTCTGACGAGCAATTCACATAGCAGTAAACGCCCTTTTTGCTTTCTAATTTGTTTGGCTGCGAGAAACTGCAATCTCGGATCTATATCTGGAACCGTTTCACTAGATGTCAAACTCAATATGAATTCCCCATTTTAGTTAAAGGATAAAAGGATAAAGCATTTGCCGTTGATCAATCCCTTTTTGGGATGCGGCACGCATTCTACTTCCATTTGTACATTCGTAGTGGCGTTTGAATGCGATGTGGCCTATACAATGACTTGCGGGGGCCAGCCGATGTACAAGTCAGTGTTTTTATCCTCCCAGACAAGTCTGGTACCAATTAACCGACCCCGGAGGATGGAAGGCTTGGCTGGTCCAGACCAAGCTCGACCCAGGATTTAATTCCCGAACCGCGCGCGTTGTAAGCGTGCCATTTGCCTATTCACCACTTCCGCTCTTCAATTTTAGTTTTGTCAACAGTGAAGTTATTACGGCGATTTTGCTCTCACTCTCTTGTCATCGTTTTTGACAATTGCGAGGGTTAGCATACTGGATATTGAAGAATGCGTTAGTGAGCTCCAGGAGGAAACCGTTTGGAGACAGTCAAGGCCGTAAAACCGGTGAAAGAACCCGAAGAGTTTTCCCTTTGCAGTCTTCCAAAATCAATCGAGGGTTACTATCAAGAGACTGGACGAGCTGGACGAGACGGGAATCCATCGTATTGTCTATTGCTGTACAGTTATCATGATGTGCACCGTATACGGCGGATGATTGAGGGTGAGGAAGTATAGGCCGCGATTATACTTTGCGATCGCACGATCGATACCTATGCAGTCCACACTCGAACAGCGGGACCGTCGCAAAGTGTCACCGCGGCCTCTAGAGCTGATGTAATTCAAGAGAAACTTCTTCGAATCAGGAATGTGCATGAAAGTGAAATATATTTTGTAGGTGACGACTGTCATGCTCCAGCAAGCGTCCGATCTATGCATCTACAAAACATCTACCAAGTGGTGTCGTACTGCGAAAATATTTCAGTGTGCAGGCGAAAACTCTCGTTGAGCATTTTGGAGAGGTGGCAGAGTATGCGTCTTCTTTTTGCTGAAATTTCTAGTACCCTTTTTAATTGCTTGGCTCGATAGTGATGTTCTAACCGATCGATGTCGGAAAGCTCATCTCAAGAACTCTATTTGGAAAGCTTATCCAGAACGGGAATTGCTTTTTGTAGCGCACTGCTATTCAACTTTGTTCAGAGTCTACGCCCGCACAAAGTGTGTCTGAAAAAGTACGACACCATGCGATGTGTGTCAGCGCTTGAAGCACAACTCAGAAGCTGTGAAGTTGTACGACGTCTCCGATGAGGCGATTATGATTCTGTCAGCGATGACCAAAATGCGCAATGTCACCCTACGGTGAGTGGGGCGTTAAGGGTTACATTTTACAAATGGGGAATTCGCTCACACCTGTTGTGCCAAGCTGCGAGACTCACACTCGAGAGTGATGAACTGTTTCTAACTGTGATTGCTGCGTCGTTTCACGAAGTGGTGAGGAAGTACAAAGAAGGTGAAGTCTGCTTACATGGGGAAATTGAGAGAGACACCATGTGATGACTGCGGCCGCAGACCTACTTTTGCGTGTACTGTGATGTAGGCTGACAGGGTGTGAGTCAAGAGATATGGTTCGCGATTTTTTGAGAAACAATGCTCTGGGAATGTAGGAGTGTTATCGTTTTGTGTCTGTTCTAAGGTGTGGGTCGCTTTGGACAGAAAGCGACTTTTTCGCTTTTTGCAGCACAAAGTGTTTTCGTTTCGGAAGCCCAGGTCCACTCATAATTATGGGTTGACCTGGGGTTTCTTCAGCGAAAAAGTTTCCCACCGCGAGAAGCGAAAAGTAGCTTTCTGTCTCAGCAACCCTCACCCTCTGTTCTGTATACCTTCCCTACCCCTCTTCCCTCCTTGATTACATGATTACTAGAACTCCCCTCCATTTCCTCTGTCATGATAGGCTAGAGCGCCCACTGGCAGAGGACTGTTGCGGTTTCATCTTCGAAGTTGGCTAGTGATAGAATCTGTGAATGCGTGGGGAATCAAGGGGCTAGGGGGAGCGAGCCGGCCTCTTGACGTGAGGCAAAAGCTCGAGCCTGCAAGAGCAGCGCATCAACCCTTTTCAAAGAACTGAGTTCAAGTAGCCCGTGGACCCACTCTTCCCCTTCCCCCATCCCCAGTTAAAGAGAAAGGTGGTTTAGGGGAGTGGAGAGGAGACCGCATTGAGTCCCCTGCCGCCGCCCTGCTATCCCATGTGAAAAGACTCCAACTCGCTTCCGCTCCGGTATCCTCTTGTTTGGGGTTGTTACCACTGTGCAACCGTCTGACGATGCTCAGCACAGCAGGCTTCTATTCACTGCTGCTAAATGTGGCCACAGCCTCATATGCATTCACCGTCCTACTAACGTCGCAAAAAGTCATTGTCCTGG